ATGTAGTTCATGAGTACATAAATTAGTATATCTAGCAAAAATGCATGCAGACGAAATTGATAAAATGTTTGATTAATTAACAAAACTGGCACTTCTGAACGCCACTTTCCCGCACTAGTGCGGGAAAAAGATTTTCCCGCACGGGGTGCGGGAAAGTGACATTTTCGGAACTAAGATGCGTGCGGGAAAGTGATAAAAAATGCACGCTCGTAGAAAAAATGATTTTTCTGAAAGTTCAAAATAACCGTTTTTGGGCGTGGCACCCGGAAAAGTTTTCGCGCCTCCGGCAGCTCCTGCGTCGGGCATTCACCTTCTTAAATTAGTAATTTGAACTAATATAATAATCCACGTGCCGCCACTGCCTGTATGCACCTGCCTGAAACTAATCCTGGCGGCGCCTATGAGTCTGGTTGTAGGAATTCTTGATAGTGTGTCTGCATTCAGGTTAAACGTTTCTTTTTTGTATTTGATCTCATAATCAAATTTAGATAATTTTAGTCGCCATCGAACTAATTAAGAACTCGGTTCTTCAACATTAAATAGCCTTTGTAAAGTTTTGTGATCTGACAAAATTGTGAATTTTCTACCAAAAAGATAAGGTCGAAAATATTTTGTTGCCCATACGATTGCTAAAAGTTAATTTTCAATCGTTGAATAATTACATTCAGCTGGGTTTAAAGTTCTAGATGCGTATGCAAAGGGAAGATTAGCTCCGACAGGACCTTGAGATAAAACAGCTCCAATTGCATAGTTCGAGGCATCGGTTGTCAATAAGAAAGATTTCTCAAAGTCAGGATGTAATAGGGGGCATTTATTAATACATTTTCACAAGTTTCAAAGATATTAGGAAATTCTGCATTGTGTATTATTTTTTTGTCTTAAACAAGATGTCATTGGTTTTGTCTATTTGGCAAAATTATTTATGAATCTTCGGTAATAACGTATTAACCCTATTTGGATTTGGTTTTATTCCATTTGGCGTGATTATATGTCCTAAGAATTCGACTGTCTTGTGTAGGAATTTCGATTTGTCTAATTGTATTTTTAAATTAAACTTCTCCAAATTTTGCACATGTTCATGAAGTGAAGTGGAAAAGATTATTATATCATCCATGTATATTAGACATATTCTATTCTGTAATCCTAGTAAAACATTATCCATCACTCTCTGGAAGGTTGCTGGTGCATTCTTTAATCGAAAGGGCATTCTGTTAAATTCGTAATGACCATTTTCAACATTGAATGTTGTCTTGGTTATCGAATTTTCATGCATCTCGACTTGATGAAAGCCAGAGGCTAAATTCAGTGTCGTATAATGACATAAACTTAAATAGCATTTGGACGTCGGCCCCACGTCGCCTTACACAACCCGACGTTGGTTATTGACGTCGAATGAACCATTTGCCGACCATTTTTTGCACTAATTTGAAACATTCAAATTTGAGTCGTGCCGACGTTGATAACCAACCTTCGAAGTGCTGGATCGTTAACCAAATGCAACGTTGATTTACGTTTAGATCACCAATTTTCTACGTCCTAACCCTGATACGACGTCTTTTGGAATTATGTGAGATAAACGGTAATAGCAAACTGGGTATAGTATAAAATAATAATGCGTACGAATTTTTGTAGTGAGTGAAGGTAATTAATTAAAACTTGCTGGGCCCTTGTTGAGACCAAATATTGCCAACGCACGACACTTTACTGATACACATGACCATAGTAGGTCGAAAAATATGCATGCCTCACGAATATTGTCGAGATTTATCAAATTTAATTTTAAAAAAAATATAGATAAAAAATAAAAAAATTATATAGTTTAAGAAATTTGATTTTTGACCAAACCTAAAACGTTAGAAGAACAAAATTTTCTTGAAAATTTCCCGTTTACTGTCAATTTCATACATTAATTGGAAAATAAAAATCAAATTTTCGTAATGGCTGACAAGATGCTTCATCGACGTAGGCTTAAAATATGGCTGAGTTGGTAGTTGAACTAATATTAACTCAATTTAACCAAAGGAAAAGAAATCACCACCTAGAACTACGAAGCACAACTTTAAAGTCGGAGATATCACCAATTTGGACCACACTGAGACGTTAGGATCCGACCTCAGTTTTGGTTCCTTGAAAATTATTAAAGACGACGACAACATAACCTTAGATGCGTTTATTTATTTATTTTGATTTGAATTTAGCGTTGGAAACAGTTGAAATTATTTTATTCTATTTTATTTTTGGTGCCTGTGTGCTAATTTTCGGGATGGAACATTATGCATTGTGGCAAAGATAATCTTAGTCCAAGTAGGACTATGTTTAATTGTGGGGAACTTTCTCAGTTGAAGCTTCAATCAACAGTTTTGCTTGTTTTCTATAAAAACTAACGGTGTGCCGATGGGCTTGTTTGGCTGGCATTTTAAAACAAACACAAAAAATTATATTTCTATTACGACAAAATTGGAGATTAAGAATTATTGATCGACTTGTGTGTTTTTGTCTTTTGTAAACAGCGATAAAGTTGAGAAGTTCCGAATCTTTCCGTAACCTTAATTATTGTATACCAATGTCAACGTTGTACCCAACAACAATTTAGCTAACAACTTTGGGTATACTTTTAAAACTACCTACATTTAAAGTATAAGAATAAAGACGTCTAACCGTGGTCGATATTGGTTGGATACATTGCTAAAAGAACGCCCGTTAGAAGTTAACGTTCGCTAAACGTCGCGAGCTTAACCATAAAAAACTATACACTCGACAACGTCTGATCTACGTTGACTACAGCTACCATAAATGTCTGACATTAACTCAACGTCGGCTGAAGGTTGGGTATTTACTTTGACTGAAAAGTTAATGAGTGACCCAAACTTCTACCTCACTAGTGAAAATCTAGTCGTAAGTCGCAAAAATGCTACTTGGGAAGCTACTTGAAATAATTCGCCGGTATTGGTATCGGTATCCGTAACGCAACTAGATACGTTGACGAGCGAAAAGGCTGTCAAAGCGCTCCCTGTTCCGGTAAACGTAAACGCATCTCATAACCTAGAAATTTTTGTCTCAAAACTCTGGCGTTTTTATATCTAACCTGAAAATTGTTATTTTTTTTTGCGATAGAGAAGCACTAAACACGCAAGAAACTCAAGAAAGTATAAACTAAACAAATTAAATCAACCCGGAAGAAAACTGAGGTTATATTCATTTAAAATTTGACACATGCGTCAGGAATGTCAAGATACGTTACCGATACGGATACCGCGAAAGGGCCGTAACGTTACGTTGTACGTACGGTATCTCGGCCTCCGTATCGCTTCTGCACATGCGCAGTACGATACCGATACGGATACCGAGCAAAAAATACGGAAGCTTTATGTCCCTAATTACTACGACCAAGTCGGTCTAATATATCAATGATATAAGGCATGGCCGGATCTAGGGGGGGGGGGGGCGAACAGGGGCGCGTGCCCCCCTTCGCATCTTGAGGGGGCGGCAAAAAGAGAAGACACTGTCTTACTTTTTTTCATAAAACATACATATTTAGCGAATATTGTTTCCAAATTCATTATCTAATATCGTGCCAACTTGTAACACATCTTCTGATAGAACAGCCGACCACCCCACAGTAGCCTAACTCAAGGTTCCCTGTATTATTATGCCCTCTCCGGGGGAAATAGAGCTTTGACGAACGATCACGTTGTAACACGCATGGTCTGCGCCCCGTCTGGTTGGCCCGCTAATCAGATGCGTATGCGCAATATTGGCATAAGCTTCTAATTTGATCTGAGTTCTCCGAGCTTGAATTTACCGTTCGTTTATTTAAAAAGTGTTGAGTGTACTCGGTCCAGGCTCATTCGCGTTCGTTTATTAAAATTTCAGGCACTCGGATACAGCGTTCAACTGCTCTGTTCGCTCGCTGGTCACGTGAGTACGGCTCCGCTCAGCACGCTCTGCTCTTTGAGCAAAATACCGAACGCAAAGATTGAACACCCTGTATCTCGGAAAGGAAGCGTTTCCGGACATATGTTTATATAGGTAACTAGGGCTTATTTTCGACGTAGAATATGCCATACAAATTTGGTGCATTAATTTCGGAACACCCTGTATAACTAACTTGCAGGAAGTAGAAATCACAAGATAAACAGAAAATAAACTGATTTTAGGTTGCAAAACGAAAATCAAAAACAACTTTAAAGATGTCTTCTGTTTTATTTGAACTTGGGTAGGTATTTACTTACCTACTTATAGCTAAAACCAATTTCAAATTGGTGCAAATGGCATGGTAAACGGTATACTCACAGTCTCTGACACTTATTTTTTAATACTGTAACTCGGATTTTCATATAGGTATGTTGGAATTTTAGCAACCATTAATTGTTTAATGAAACAGCACAAATGCAAGCATCTCCTCTGTCTTGAACTGTAAACCATTTTCTTGAGTCCAAAAAAACATTCTCTGTAGATGTTCATTTACCAGCTAAAAAACCGTGATCACCATCTTGAGGATTGAAACTGTGTATTAGTTGAATGACATCTGCATAAAAATAAATGTTGGGTTGCACTGCTTTATGACCAATCACAAATAAATTGTAAAGGCAATGGCAACTAAACTAATTGCTTTCTTCCATTCTGTGTAATTATTGATAATAATTGGTAGAGCTAGTTTCTTTTATTTCTTTTCCCCTACATATTTGGTAATCTGTTCATGAACGGTTATTTCTATTATTTTGGAAGCTGGGGGCAGGCCACTAATAGCTCTTTTTTTTTTTTGAAGTGGTAGTATTTTTGAGTTCTCTAAATATGTAAGGTCTTAATATGTATCAATGTTATGGGACAAAAAGCGTAGCATAATAAATATATTGGCATATCACGACCTGTTGGGATATTAACACGGCATTTTCATGTTCGAAAATATTGTTTGGAAGCAATAGGAGAACACATTTCATTAAAAGCAAAATAAATTTAACTCTTGCACTCAACTCATAACTTTTCATTTACTGTTCCAGGTAACGTCGAAACAACAACCAAGTTGCTTAAACTCAAAGCCTTCCCGAACGTTTTAAATGCGGAAGGACGTACACCTCTGCACCTCGCCTGCCAACATAAACATCTCGTCGTCGTAAAACTTTTGCTCCAGAATAAGGCGCTCATAAATGCCAGGGACTATCGCGGCGAAACTCCTATTTCTCTGGCAGTTAGAAATCAAGATCTGGCCATAATAAAGCTTTTAATATCTGAAGGAGCAGACATAGCCTCAAGGAATAATATCAAGGCGACCTTATTGCACGTATCCGCTGAAGTGGGCGACCGGGGTCTAGTAGAATTTTTTATTAGTGAAGGATTTGATGTAAATTTCCAGACTGTTTGTGGAGATACGCCCCTCACTTTAGCTATCAAAAATGGTAATACTGAAGTAGTAGACACGTTAATAAATAGTTATAACTGTGACTACAATATAACGGATCATAAGCATTGCAATTTAATACATATAGCAATAAAACATAAGCACGTAGACACTTGCAAACAATTAATGCGCTTAAAAAATATTGATATCAATGCAGTTATCAATTCTGATGGAGCATGTCCACTGCACCTAGCAGCAGAAATAAATTGCCCGGAAATAATAAAATTACTTATTGAAAATCAAGCTGAAATAAATCGAAAAGATTATGATGGTTACACCCCTTTGCACATTGCTGCCACTTATAAAAACAACAGCAAAGCTGTGGAAACCTTAGTGAAGCTAAACGCAAGTATTAATTTGATAACAATTAATGGAGACTTACCTTTACATAGAGCGGCAGCTAGTGGAAATGAAAAAGGGGTTATGCTGCTTTATAGAAAGGAATTTCTAACATGGAGAAATCGAAGAGGATATACTCCTATAGCCCTGGCGGAGGAAAATGGAAGAATCTCAGTGGTGTATTTATTAAGAAATTTGGAGGGTGATGACAACAGCAGTCATAATGGATTCAAGAAGCGTGTTACTTTTACTGGTATTCCAGTTCCCAAGAGGGAGAGAAAATCTATCTTAGATGATTAGTTTATGTAGGTATAAGTATTATTTATTGTTATTTTTAAAAACATTATTTTCTAATTTTATATATTTTATCGAAATTATTGCGAATTGTGTTCTCTTGTCTCCACGTTTTATTTATTTTCTATATTTACCTATTAAATTGATTTTTACTGCTGGTTTCTGTGTTTTTAACTCTTTTGCTTTATCTTTTCGTTTCTAAGTGCACTATTTATAGATAACTAACTAAATTTTTTTCGGTAATTTTGCCTTATATTGGGTAACTTTTTTGGTTAGGTTAGGTATTGCTTTGTTTATGTTCAATATTTGTTGTAAATATTATTATAATGTTGTAAGACATCTAGTACCCAAGTACTCATTAAAATTGAGACAATGTTTCATCGAACAATTTGCCAATTTTTCAGAACCTTATTAGAAAAGTTAGCGGTACCACTTCACTTGATGGAGGTATCGAAGAACTGAGACTGCAGAGAGGTTACCCCTATGAAAAACAAAGAATAAGGCCTCCGGTCTCTCGCAACTTGCGTCTGCCCAGCCAGGTAAAGGAGTTACTCACTGTACTGCGTAGGAGCAGAAACTAATCATGGAGGACTGACTCCTATTGCACATGGCAAATATAGCCAAAAAATTCTCTCAAATATTAATGTTTATTAATAATAATTTGTGTGTGATTTCGCGGCTGTTTTTTTGTGAAACATGATAATTAATAGCCATATTTGGAAATTAAAATCGTTTCAACATGTTTCCTAGTATTTATGCAATATATAAAATGACTGAAATACCCTTATGAGAACCTGAGAAAAAAGCTTGGTTGATAACTTCCAAAATAGTCTGATAATGATATGGCATATTATAAACGCGATCTTTATTTCCAAATAACTCTTGATTTTCAAGCAGGATATACCCTGACCTAACAACTCCATCAATATAAACCGACTCCGACTGCTATCCTAAATTTCCTAATCTAAATTAGACCAGAAACGAATTATAGTAGCAGACACTCGAATTTTCGGCGTTTAATCCCCCTGAAACGATTTCCCGTAATGCCTCCTACAAAAGGAGGCCATTATCGCTAACTTGCTGCTCGGAACGATCAAACTTTTGTTCAAAATTAATATCCGATTACTTGACAACCTAGGGAAAGTTTTACTAATGTTTTTAATAATATAGGAAGGTACCTATATTTAAATTTAATTCCATTTTCAAATTATTCGGCTCTAATTATCCATCAGGACCAAAATACACATAGGTACATGTAACTTCTGGAGTACCTCAGGGAGCTCATCAATGACTTAATCAATGATATCTCTACTGTTGTACAGCACTCTGACATACTTTTGTATGCAGATGATCTAAAGTTATATAAATGCATTGATGACATTGACAGGGTTGGATGGGACGACCGGGCAACCGGGCAAATGCCCGGTGGGCTGGTATAACTCAGGGCCGTTCGGGCCGCAGGCCTAACACGTCTCCAATTAATAATAATATTTTAAAATGTATATATTTGACAAAAACAACATGAAAACTATCTAAAACAATATTTAAACTGAATATTATGCGTGAGGTCCGAAACTACTGGGTGACGGTTTAGTTGAGAATGCAGTGCTGCCAATATGAATTTGTGAAATTACACGATTTGCTGGTCAAATTACGTTTTTACACGCTTCCGTCTCACAATTACACGATTTACACACACTACACACTACCTTGGTACCTATTTAGTAACATCAAGAAGAAAGTAGGTATATATTTTTTTTGTAATTTATGATTTTGGGAAATGGGTCAAATTCAGTCAAATCTGAGGGTTAATCATCGCTCCTCAACCAAAAATAAAGATGTGGCAACGACAGAAAAGCGATCCGAAAGTAATCTAATAACTAATTACTCTGGTTCCTGGAAAAATGGTTAGGTACTTTTGGACTTCAGTTTTCCTGCAAGGAGAATACATACTACAACTACAGGATAGAGCCTATCCTCATCAAGCCCGTGTATTTCAAATCTCAAGCCCCCCACTATGCCAAAGCATCAGTGAAGACGTAGGCATCATATTGTTTCTCGTCTTGACGTTGTCTGGTAATGGGTAACTTGATGACGAATCTGGGGTAGCCATATGCAGATTTGAATTATTGTTGAGGCACTCCAAATGACGTAATAGAGTTATCCAGGGCCAGGCAACCTTTTTCCAAAATAGCCGATGAGCATTAGTAGTGAGTATTATCCTTGAGTTTCCTGAAATGTTGGGTTTGAGCCTAGCCCAAGGTTCCTAAAGTTAATAGGTTGCCTGGTAATGGGTACCTTGATGACGCATCTGGGGTGCCTTATGGAGATTTGCATTATGATGAGATATTGATTGATGATATTACCTATCTGTAATAATATTGAAAATGAAAATTCCAAAATATTCTTTGGTTTTCTTTACAGTAAAATTTTTAAAACCCATTTTTCATTCTTGCTGCCCAAGGGAGGGCTGGCTGAAAAAAAATTGCCAGGGCCGGTTTGTCTGAGCCCATCCAACCCTGGACATTGATCATCTGATTTCTTGGTGTAACCTAAATGAGATGGAATTAAACACAAAAAAATGTAGGGTCATGCGTTTCTATCGAAAAACGAATATCATTCAGTTTGAGTACAGCATAAATAATGAGATCTTAGAGACAGTGGACTGTAGGTATAAATGAACTGCGGAAGTTTCTTTGGACAGAGAACTTTCAGTCAATAACCATATTAATTGCATAACTAGCAAGGTATTAAAAGTTTTAGGATTTGTTAAGCGTACTCTGCAGGATTTCACCGATCTGAAATGTTTTAGAGCTTTATACTGTGCTTATGTTAGGTCTGTTTTGTATTATGCTTGTCAGGTTTGGTCACCTCATTATAAAATATATATACAGCAACTTGAAAGAGTCCAACCAAAATTTATTAGATTTGTACCTTATAAGATGAGTTTGTCAGTCAATCATATCAATTATACCGATATAATGAAACTTCTAAATATATACCACCACTCGAACAACGAAGAATGTTTCTAGACCTCTGTTTCTTACACAAATTAATTAATTATAATATTGATTGTCCTGATTTCCTGTTTCTTGTGAATTTCAATGTGTCACAGAGGAATCTGCGCACTAATAATCTCTTTAAAGTTGACTATCACAGAAGTAATTATGTTATTTCTTCAAGCATGACTAGATCCTGTAGTTTGGCAAATAGTGTATGCAGGGAGATTGATGTTTTTCATACTGGCATAAATAGTTTTAGAGAAAAGGTTAGACGGAGCATCTTTCCCACGGACTTACACCCAACATAACTGATTGTGAATAATTGTTTACGGTAGGTTTCTTTTTTTATATATTAATTGTATTTTTTGTCTTTTTGTTTTATTTCATTTTACCCACGTTTAAGGCTGAACGGCTGAACTTTCTATGTATTTATTGTAATGTTTGTCATTCTTACTGAATGTACTATTGGCTGGTCCATTAATAAAAAAATTATTTTATTTATTTATTTGTTTGAAATTTAATAGGGGTGATAAAACTTTTGGGGCCTATTTATTTGATTTTTGATTGAAAATCTTTTTTTACTTAACTCGTACTCGAAAGAATATAGTTATATTAGCTCTGTTTCAACTGACATGAGAACCGTTCTAGAACGGCAATAGACCTATCTATTTTACCAGACAAAGAGGTAATAATACGAAAACTTCATTAGATAAAAAAAGACACAGAACACTCATTGCGCAAGACGAGGCAAAACGTACCAAATTATGTTAGACTTACGTATAGCAATCCGTCCTTCTTATTTGCACGGGATAAAAAGGGAAGGAGAAAGATCGCGTATTGTGCAACGTATTTGTCAATGAAAATTTCAAACAAATTTTGAATGTCACTTATCAAGCTATGTCAAGTTCAATATCAACCGTACTTTCATTCTTGTCAGACCGCGGGCAATGAACAAGGACAAAGAAATTCCCAGCGTGCAAAACGAACACCTCACACCTGTACTAGTTAGCCAATAAAAAGGCATTGCCTCGTGTTGCGCGCGCATACCAGGTAAAAATAGATAGGTCTATTTCCAGTCGATCAATTCATTTGTCGATTAGGATAAACACTCAAACTTATTGAAAAATAGGTGGGCAACTGGAAATTTTTGATTCTGGAATGGTTCTCATATCAGTTGGAACAGATGAGCTATTGGGTACATTCAGGCGGTCCCAGCGGCTAAGCTCAGCCACTCAGCAGAAACTTTATTCTCGAAACCAAGAAACAGCGTTCTCATAAGAATGATTGCTCTGTCATTGTCAGTGTTATGACAACAAAGACAGAAACTTCGTTCCAATGAGAGCGCTGTTCCCCTGTTTCGAGAATAAAGTTCCTGCTGAGTGGCTGAACTAAGCCGCTGGGACCGCCTAAATGTACCCATTAGTTCAAGATTTTATTGTAACATTTTTATACAACTTATAACTATTTAACACTGAACAGAGTTCTTACAACTCAGTGCTCTTCATAACAAATAATATTTAACTTGTTGTATGTAGTAGGCAATCCCAGGGTAAGCGCGGGATGAATGATGGAGCTGTAGCTCTATTGGAGCTACACATGAGAAAAAGTTCAACTAAACTTCCATAAAAAAAACGCTTCAAACCTTTGCTCTCTATAGGAGCAGCATTAACTCAAATAGGATAGAGTAGGCGAAGAGGCATAAAATAACCCTTCGGCAATTGTAATAACACTAATTTGACTACGTTAATTGGGGGTGAATGTATAAGCTGGCTGGAGACCTTCACGGTATGGAATAAAATGGGATTCGAGAATTATTATTTTCAACCGCTAGGTAGGTATGTAAAAGCAAGTTGTATTGACAGTATAAAGCTGAGAATTAATTATAATATAGTCTTTACTTTGTTCGTCTTTTAGGTGCTAATTAAACCACAGGTAGTGTAACGCCTAAGTTTATATCATCAATATAAAGCATTGATTAAATATAAAAAATGGTTTATCAATCAGCAAGTTTATTCTAAATTGGCTCCCATTATAAAACTAAATAAACACAAATAATCAAATAACGAAATAACTACCTTTGCAAAAACTAGGCATAGTTGTTTACATTTTTTTTAAGCGTCGCCGAGTCCCTGAGAATAAATTATCTGCTCATACTCACAAATTTTATGTTTTGGGAAATTTCCGAAAATAGTAATGGACTTTTTTTGTTCAAAATTTTCCATATTTTCATGTGTTGAAATTTTTCTAGTTAAACCTGATACACTCTGTTCAATATTGTGATAGTGTTCATTATTTTCAAATGAGAGACTTTTCTTTGTTCAATCACTTCCATTCATTCCTATTGCACTTTCTGTCCTGTACTCTCCTGCACTTCCTGTTTTTCTGCACTGCACTTTTTGTCCTGCACTTTCTGTTCCTGCACATTCTGTCCTGCACTGCATTTTCCGCTTACTGTACTTTCTGTCCTAGCTGCATCCCAACCAGCACTTCCTATTCTTTTTTCTTTCTTTTTCCTTCTGTTATGCACTCAAATATAGAAATTCGAATTAAAGTGACATGAACTATTTGAAAAATGGTTACTGAAGAACTTCATTGAAATTTATTATTTTAATTTTCTGCCACTGGAAATTGGCAATACTCCTACGTCATAATGTGGTTTGCAGTCCACTGATCAAATAAAAATTTCCGATATGGCCTTGAATAAATCCATCATCTGTAGAGAGTCTCACTCAGCATCAGCAGCGCGAAAAATTCATTCAGCTGGAATATTATTAAAAGCCGATAACTACGGATTTAGACATGCAGCATCTGTATGGCTCTAGGTATAACCATAAAGCCATTTTTTTTTTGTTCTAAAAACAGGTAATTCAAAAAGGTGAATGAAAGCAAGTTTTAGATTATTAAGT